TGCTTAGAAAGCCATTCCTGCTCGCATGACTTTGAACTGGGCATGGCCTGTTGAGACTTGTGCTGCATCATCATCATCATCATCATCATCATCATCAATAATACTAATAATACTAATACTAATACTAATAATAATAATCTGGGGGCAGAAAGGAAGACCCTGACATGCCTATGACATATGCGTTCTTTTTCCTTTCAACTGGGAGTGTGAAAAACAGTTTTCAAGTGCATGGAAACTACCCAGAAAGTCTTGGCTATTGGGCAGTACAGAAGTTGAGGAAAGGAAGGAAGAATCCAGGCCAGTAGCTGAAGTAGCTTCCTGGCTGCATCCCAGCCAAACCAACCATTCCCATTAAGAGACAGAGGTCAATGCATGAAGTTGCAGACAAAAAGCTTATTTAGATTGTTTTTTATTGTAAAAACTTCAAGGCATGAGGTCCTATTAAAAAAGTGGCTATTTGTAAACAGAACAGAAGTGTTAAGGACTTAAAATGCATACAGTTTAACAAAGAAGTTTCATGAGTTACAAATAATGTCATAACCGTAAACAAAAATGCACCAAAGTTGCAGAGTATGAACACAGTTGTGTAACGTTTAGGAAAATGGGTAACTATTTACACTGAGTATCAACACGCTTGGATTTTTTCCCCCTTATTGCTCAATGCCAGCACTTTCTGGTTGATGCGACCGATGTGGAGACGCTGCAATGCATATTCACAGTTGCCCATGTGGGGTTTTGCATTTAACCAGGACGGGGGAGTGGATGCCTGCATTTATCGTAATGTGCCGTTTACTAGGAACGCAGCCTACAGTTTGGGGCTGGGTGGAGAGAAGGAACACCCATTGAACAGCATGCTGACATGGCCAAAGTCTCCTTGTAGCTCAGTGTCCCCCAACCCAGTGCATTCAGTATGGTTGGCTGGGGATGCTAGGAGATGTAGTCCAGCACATCCAGAGGGGAAGACTAGATTAGCAAGGCCTGCATGGGAAACTGCATGAATTGTCAGCTTAAAATGTCACAGAGAAGGATGTGACAGACTTCGGGCTAAAGGTATGGCGTGTCCCGCGGGAGATGCTCTCCCAAATTAAATACTGCTCTGTGTCCAGTCAGTCGGGATCGGAGATAAAGATTAATGTTATACACTCCCCGGCATGCTAGCTTACTACATGCAGGAAATTTGTATTTTTCTTTTAAATGTGGAAGAGATTCCTATCTGTGGTACACCTCTTGCCACATCTTGTATAATACATGGAATGGCTCGAAACTGTGTAGGAAGCATTCGCATTAAGTCAGTGTGGGCATTTTCCACTCTACCAACCAAACACCAAAGCTTTTGGTATTCATCTCTGTAACATTTTGTTCTGTAGAAACAATTCAAGGCCCTTTCTCTCTGCTACTTGGGAGTGCTTTTAAAGATCATCCTACCAATTAAGTAATTATGGGTATGGTGAAAAAAGGCAACTCTGCTACGCAGGCTGGCCACACTGAATAAAAAATTCAGCTTGAAGGATGGCAGAAAAGGGGTAGCCAATTCAACATGTAACCAAAAAGCACTGTAAGGACAGTTGGATGATGATGTTGACAGCCACATGAAAACCAAAGAGCTGTGCCCCCAGTTCCTCTAATGCCATAAAAAGTTACGGGGTACAGCTCTCAGATTGTATGACCATCCACCCACGACTGCAAAATGCTTTCAGCCAGATTAGTTGGTTACAAAATTGGACTCGGAGGTCCTTTACTTTTAAATTGAAGGCTCCATTTTACAAACAATGATTAAGATAACCAGGTTGTGAAACAAACAGGAAACAGGTTTTCCACAAGGTTTTCCACAAATTTCCACATGTGGATACAATGCCACAAGAGTTCTTTACGCGTACCTCGGACCTGTAGCAGCTTAAAGGAAAGTGAATGGGCGATCACATTGCTCATGAATCAGGACGTGGAAAGGTGGGGGAGATGAAAGGGGGCCCTACCCTGTGTAAACAACCCCCAGATTATTCTTGTGGGTGCTTTATATGGCAATACTGCCAAAAGAAGAGATGCTGGAAAACATTTGCAAAAAGGTGGTCCTTGAGACAACTATGAAAGAATGCGTGCAAAGTTTTGATGTGGCAACAACACTGGACCATGTTTTCTTCACTACAAACGTCTAAACAAGGATCTTGCACACCTGAAAAGTTGTGAGTATGGCCCCTTTAGTAGACAAAGTCTGGAATTCAAACTGCAGGATGCATATCCTGCAGAGAAAATCATTCACTGGAAGCAAGTCCCACTAAATGCCCTGTGGAAGTGACTTCCACATAATAGGGCCGGGGGTAAGGGGAATTAGTCTCTTGAGTACATTTGCTTTTTGAAGCCACATTTCTTAAAGCTTACAGCCAACATGAGGAAAGTTGACAATTTTAACTTGGCACAGTGTTACAATCGCGTGAAGCCAACAATCCCTGTTGTAACCACTAAACCATGCAAACTTGGCTGAAAGACATATGGAGAGTATTCAGAGCAGATTACCGGAAGCACCAACACGTGCCCAACTTTCTCATTGCTATCCAAAGACACTTCTCTCTGCATTGAGGAAATGAATCACATCTCTGGGATTCGGTGTTATTCCACGCCAGAAGACGCTTCGGTTACATTAGGCAAGAATTAATATTTAGAATTACTCTTTTTGGCAGTATGTCACTCTCCGCGCACTTTACAATGAGCAGAAAAACTCTGGCATTTGGAGTCTAATATAATTTGGCCTTGCATGGATTCTCGGACCCTTTCTTTCCATACAAGAAACAGCTCTACAGAACACGAGATACCTGCTCCTACAAGAACGTGTGAGCGCAATTCCTAGCTCTGCGGAGGCATGAAGCCTCTTCCTCCTTAACATTCCATTTTAAAATCCAGTTGGATCATTTGGCATAAGGATTTTATTCTTGGAGTCTGGATATGACACCCACGTCTCGAGGCTCAAGTTTCCAAGTTGACAACTGCGCTGAGGTTATGCCCTCGTGCCTTAGAACTCCTTGCAATACTAGCCAGCCTCACTAAGGAAACGCCACTGAAGACAAAGGACTCCATGGACACCCTCAATCTAGGGAACACGCAGGGAACACTCAGAGGGCTTTCCACTCTGCAAACGCAGGTGGGGTGTGTGCACGTGTCCTCCGCATTTCACTAAACGAGGAAGTTCAGCTGCGTGTGGACTCCCCTGTCCGTAAGAAGTTGTGGGGCTAAGTTTGCAACAGTTACTGCGCCATGGGTGGGGATGCCAAAGACAGGCAGATGGAAGCTACACGTGCTGCCATCACCTCATCTGAGTCACATGGCGGCCGAGCTCATTGAGCGTGGGGTCAAACAGAGCATGTTGTGTGAAAAGCATGGAACGAAATGATTCCAGAATCTAAACCTGCAAGATAAACGGAGAGATCTCGTTCCGACTGGATTTTGGCTTCCTCATACTACCCTGTACTCGGGGTTAGAGGGTTTTCAGATATATTTGGCCTTGCCCAATCGTCTCCTACCATCTCTGTAAGACAGTGAGACGAGCACCGTGCCCTGCCGACTCCTCCCTCCAAAATCACTCTGCTACTTAAGAAGACTAAGCAAGGCAAGAGCCAACACAAGCTCTTGGCACAGAGCCACTGGGACAGAGAGGTACTGCAATCCAAGAACCCAGCAACCGACAGTGGCCTCTGCTCTGTTTCAGCAGTATATTTTATCCAGATTTTTGGTGTAACCCTTTCCCATTTGGTAAAAATATAATTCTGAAAAGGAGATTATCGTTGCTCTGTTCACCCAGAGAATATTTGAAGAGAACATTCAAGCAGCATTCTGGTAACAAAGCATTAAAGTTATTCTGAATTTAGTTACTGTGCCGGTACTTAAACATTAACCACAACAATTGAGGCAAGAGACTGATGTTTCTTGCCTTTAAATTAAAAGCACATTCTTTGTATCAAATCTGTGGCAGGGAACCAAAGAGCTTCTTTAGACACCTCCTAGGGGGATTTGTTTGACGCCTTTTCTCCACGAAGGGCAGGCTCCAGCCCCATAATCTGAGCTCACAAAAGGCATTTGAAGTCCCCCAGTTTGAGAGGCTGTGCTTCTGGATGCCTCTTGTGCCTGAGGAGCCCCCTTGAATTTTAGCGATCTTTGGATTCAGGAGGTTAAACCTCCAGCTTTTGTGACAATACCTTCAGAAACAGAGAAACGCGATGCATTTTTGCATTCATTTATCAAAGTGCATCTGAGTCCAACATTCGGTAGTACATACAAACCCATTACAGTTTTACTGTCTGATACGCGAATGGGTTTATACATTCAAAAGGATGCTTACAGACATCATTCAGAATAAATCTATATGGAACAACTTCAAAACAGGAGGAGTGATAATACATTTCGTAAACCTTGGGCGCCATACCACAAATCTTATAATGCAATGAGGCAATATTTACAACATGTTGTGTTAGAGCAATTCACTCCCACCCCCCACAAAAAACGCAAAAGGAGCAACTTGGCAAGTACAGGAGAAAACCGGTGCTGTGCATGGTAACTCTTATGCAAGCAGATTAGTTTAAAAGTTTTTCTAGTTACTGTAAGCTAACCTTGATAATCTCTCGTCAAGAATTTAAGGGAGTGTGAAGTTGTAGGTGACACACTCGGCGTACTAGGTTAGGGTGCATGTCTGCAAACAGAGAGCAAGTTTAGAAATTAATAAGGCAGCATATGCGGACAAGGCTACAAACCAGCACTGATACGATATCGTGAGTGGCAACGGCTATCAGTTACTGTTAAAAGAAATTCAGGAGTGCACACACAAGCCTCGTTATTTAACGGTTAAAAAATGTGCAAATTGTTTTCTTCTTAAAACAAAAGAAATTAACATAGCAAGGAAGGTAACTCTACCAAAGAACACTTCTGATTTTTTTTAAATCACAGCAAAGTAGACCATCTTCTCTCCAACATCCCCTACAAGGCACTACAGGTAGGAAATGACAGGTAACGTGAAAGGTAATACTGTTCTTCAGTCAGGTCGGAATATGGGGTATTTTGGTAAGAATTCTATTAGTATTACCTACAGAAGGGGGAAAAAACAAAGATACGTTAGCCAATACATTCAGCTCCTGTGTGTAAGGAACATTAGCAAAGCTGCCGGTATGCAGCACGTTGGGGGACGGACACGGGAAGCTGCCTGGGTCATCTGACTCCGTTCTGCCCGTGCGGAGCAGGAGCAGGTCGCCCAGGTTTCAGACAGGATGCCTCGCGTGGTCCTTGGGACAAGAACAGTGGAGAGCCTGGGGCCTTCCTCAGGCATGCCACAGAACGATGCGTGGGTGTCAGGCCATGGGTGGATGTGTCCCAGTTTGAACGGTTCTCCTGCAGGGCTGGCAGCTCTTTCCTTCAGTCCCACTAAGCTGTCTTCATCCTTCAGTGGGCCCTGCAGCTGGCTTCCCGTTGTTTATTTTCCCCCCTAGGGGGCACCAGCAGCTTGTGGTAGATTTCTATCTTGTGTGATCAGCGCCTTTTTTACCCACCCACGAAGCTTTACATGTGCAAGGGACGCCTGCAAGGCCAAAGAGGCACTTACAGCTGGCTTCCTTGGCCACAGACAACCACTGCACAGGGCCCCCTCTTCCCACGTTATCCCAAGCCACCCCTGAGTCAATAAGAGATCAGTTGCAGCATGAGGCTTGGTCCCTGGGCCAGTCTAAAAGCATCAAATACTTCCTAAACGTGCCAGGCATGCAATACTTCACTATTATGAACTGTTAGAAAAGGAAGCAAAACATTCAACAGAGAAGGCTGCTGAGTGAGGGTTTGGAACGTATTTGCATATAACTAAATGGAGGATGGACGAGCCAAGGTTCAAGGTTCAAATGGAGAATTCTCACAATGTTCAAATGGAGAATTCTCAGAGTGCTACTGCTCTGTCAGCCTCAAATGTTCCAAACTTCCATAAAATTAAGAAGGTATGTAAATGAAGACACATGGTGCATGTATCTTTAGCATGAGGGCTAGTAACTTGCTTGATGAAGTGTTGTCACTGCGATATATCACTGTTAAGGAGACCTGATGGGATATTCAGCAGCCCCTCAGGGCTCATGATGGCTACATTAAGGCTATATATTAACCAGAATAGTTACGCACAGGGGAAAAAGAAAAGAAAAGGTGGCTAGTTGAGATCAACAAGGATCTGCCTGAACGTTCACAATTCCGTAGTACAGGGAGTGATGTTTCCTGCAAATCCAGGGACACAGACCACGGCAGGAGGAGTCTCTGCACCATTAGCAGCCTGCAGGCCACGGAGAGTGCGGGCACCTAGAATGGGCAGGGCTGAACACAGCAGCTGCCAAGCAGTCTAAGCGGAATGTCTGATGGGCCGAGAATGATCGGGTGAAAGCAGCAATCGCTTTCCCGCCCTACCTAAATTGTGCCAACATTAATCCGTGGAAGTAAAGGACTGCAGTGAGACCATAAGCTGGAAGTCCGCTCTTCCAGGTTCTGATTTTGTATGCTATGATTGTGCGGCGGCTTCCCTAGTAGACCACAGACTGGCCCGAGAAAGCTCCTGGGCCTTGCAGGCTTTTCTCCGCCTAAACAAGTATAGGATTGCACCCTACAAAAGGACATCGGAAAAGCCCTGCTGGATCAGACCACGGTCCCTCCAGTCCAGCACTCTGTGCACACGGTGGCAAAGCAGCTGTCCCAGGATCCCTCCAGAGGGTGGGTGCAAGACCTCCTCCTGCCCAAGCCCCTCAGCAACTGGTGTGGGCAGGCAGGCCACCTCTGGTCACAGAGGAAGCACCCGGCCAGCAAGGCTGGTCGCCATTAAAGTAGGCCGAAGGGTGGCATCCGATCTAGCCACATTTACGTGGAAGAATACCTACTGCTCTTCAGTGGGACTTACTCCTCAGTAAGCAACTGTCCACGAAGTAAGAAGAAAACAGACATTATGCTTTCATAAGCAATGGCGTTCTGATAACCGAAAATAGAAAGTACTTACGTATTCCATCATATTGCTAGTTTCACATTTCCTTTTACTCAACTTCCAGTGCAAGCCAAGCTAGAAAATAATGCAACGTTTGGCGTTACCTTAACAGCAACACGTCTAAACCCCCTGGGAATTTTAACCTCCTCCTGCGTTTAAAATTTCCCTGCGCCTGACAGAAGACGCGGGCCCTGGACGGATGCGCCCCTCCTCAGTCCTCCTGCAGTCTCCGGGGGAGGCTGCAGGCGCGCTGGGAGGTCCCCGAGCCCCGGCAAGCCACGTGGCACCGGCTGGGGCATGGCTGCTCAAAGAAGGGGCTTCTGCACTATTCATGCATGTCGGAGCATCCGCCGCAGGGACTCTGCCCCCACAACTCCCCCTCCACAGCTTGCCATTAAATGTCTTCTGTGACTAGATAAGCCCTGGATACAGGCAACACCGCAACCTCTTCCGTCTCCAACCGAGCTGTCCCTCACCTTGTGCCCTGCAGAAATACTGAACTACCACCTCGGTCGGTGCATGGCAGGTAGCAACCGGGCCTTCATCGCACGGAGAACGACAGCCAACCCTTTTCCCAACGTGGCAGCCACGATCCTAGCGGAATGCCACGCAGGGGAGCCTTCGACAGCGGCGAACGAAGCACGAAGCGGCCGCGCGAAATGCATTCGCTCGAGGAGCCCCCACGCCCTCCCCCATCATCAGAGCAGCCCCCTTCCTGCTTACCTTGTGGTACAATCTGTTATTTTCCCATTCTAACAACTTCTGAACCGATCTTCTCGTCTACAAAAGAAAGGCAGGTTCTTGTCAGCACGCGGTCCGCCGGCCGCCTGGCCGCCGCCGTGGTGCAGCGCTGCCTGTGCATACTCACTCGCTTGCTCAGGCAGACGGCGGGCCAGAGGCTGCATCCCAGAGTGCAGCAGCAGCACAGGCAGCCGCAGAGGAGCCATTTCACGCTGACCGGCAGGTTCTTCTTCAGGCACGCGTTCACGCGGCTGATGCTGGTCTTGAACTCTTCGGGGGCCACCTGCAATGGCATTTCCTTGCATTACTTGGTCTTTTCAGGACTTCTGGCCTGGCTTTTGTCTCTTGCCTGCACAACGGCACAAAAGGGTGTTCACTGCAAATCCAACCCCGGGTCTCTCGAGGGCGGGGATGGGGAACAGCTCCCCCCCAGATGCTAAAACCGCGGGCTCTCCTCTGCTCTGGCCAGCATAACTAATGGGGTGGGGGGGTGGGGGGGGAATGGCAGTTCTGCAACAAAATTTCTGCAAGACATCAGAACTTGTTCTATTGTGAACTTTGAATTTTCCCATGCAACCACCCCTAACTTGCATTCGATTTTCCTTTTTAGAAAATTCAAAATGTTCCAGAAAACCAGCGTCGTTGCATCAGATACAGGGGACTCCAGCCCACGAAAGCCTATGCCAGTGTGAACGTGCTGGTCTTTAAGGTACTGCAAGACTATTTCTCATCACTCCCTAACCAGGAACAAAATACACAGAATGAAGGCTATCCCCTCTGGGGCAGAACGGGGGGGCGGGGGGGGCAGTCCTGTTGGAAAAGCCCTTGACGTCCCCTTTGCTTGCTGCCGTCTCCCTCACCTCTTGAAAGGTATTTGCACATTGACTATCACATGCCCAGCCAAAACACTGACCGTGCAATCTTATGTCTAGTTAGATACAAGCCACAGGAAGCTCAACAGGATTTGCAAGGATTGGGCCTCGGCCAGGAAAGCTCAGATACCAACATTTCTAAATGCTCTCTCTCTCAATAAGCAGAGTAAAGCTCTACCAAGGAAGAAGTTTGCAGTCTTTCAGTTAAAAGAAGAGCGTGGAAGCGTTTGCACAAGCAGCATGGAGAGCCCCTTCTGGGTTACCTGCATGAGATACTGTGGTGGACACAAATCGTCCGTGCCTCTAAGGTGGCTTTCCCTCTAACCGTAAGGTAGGGGCCAGCCAAAAGGTGCCACCCAATGGGCCATCCTAGCTCTCTTAACGCAACAGATGAAGGGCTTTCTGGGCAGAGCAGGAGGGATGAAAGCGAAGGTCACTTCCGTGCTCCCCCACTCTGAAAACCAGACCGACAGCTGATTTTGGCACTCTAGTCGTGGCCCTTCAGGGAGAGGGAGGGAGGCCTAGGCCATGCCAGAGCACCTTGTGTCTCTCGGGGTACCAGCCTCCTCCCCTCCCCTTCCCACCCCAAATCCTTTCTCCAAGGTTTTGCACTAGCTGTGCAAAGGGGACAGGAGCTGTACATGGTTCCCCACTGATGAGGTCAAAGCCTTGTTCCAGCCTAGGATCTGGGACACTGAATGATCTCATGGCAATCCAGACACTGCCCAGGTGCCACAGAATCTGCTGTATCTAAATTATCTGAATCTGCCGTATGCAAGTACCTGCCGTGGCCGTTCTTCTCTGCCTCCTTCCAAGCAAACCAGGGAAAACACTTCCTAACCAAAAATCGTTACTATGTTAAGAGTGACCTGCTAGGCTGCTTTTTAGTAAAAAGGTGTTGTAGAAGCCAATGGCAAGAGAAACCAGCAAAGTCAGAATTTAGTGAAATGCAGCTGAAGGACGAGAAATGGATTCCAAATTGAATATGTCTCTTCCCAGGCAAACAAACAAGCAAGCAAACAAACAACAGGCCACAGTCCCACCGAGCACTCTGGGAATCTGCCTCATTCTGGAGCACGAGGGAATGTTCCGTCTGTTTCGCCGGATGCAAGCTTTGGGGGCTTGCTCCTTCCTGATGTGCAACACAGCAGAGGAGCGAATTTATGTTACACATTCGTTCTAGACCCTGGCACATGTTGAGCCCGCAAGGCTGTGTGCAGGGGCTGCCCTTTTTGGACAGAGGGGATCAAGCGTCCTCTCCCACAGTGCGTAAAGCCTGCGGTGGGCCTCCGAGAACAAGCAAACACGGCAAGAATGGGGTTCTTCAGGACAGAGCTCCACGAACTTTAGAATCCGTCTGACTCAAAAGAAAAAACAAAACACCCAACACCCCCAGACGTTCTCAAAGATGAGTTCCTTTTAGGTTCAACAAACTATAAAAGGGACTAGGGGCGGAGAGAAAAGGGTCATAATATTTTACAACAGGATGCAGGAGAGGAAGCGAACAAGCAAAGACCAGCAGGCCCTCTCTGCCTTCTTTGGCCATCGCGATCGCCGGCCCATCAATCACACCTCGTGCTGAATCACAATACCAAGGGTACGTTTTATGACTTATACTTCCCTGCATTGCACACCAATTTCCCCATAGGAGTCACCATTGTTCTGAGGTCAGGCGACCAGGCTGGACTTTCCTTCTGAAGTATCCCTGGCTGCCCCAGGTGACCGGAAAATGGAGGCCAGATTGCAAACGAGCGTTTAATCAGTCAGGAAAGCCAAAACTGGGAACAAGACTACTTGCCTAAACATGCAAGTGTTCCACACGGCGTCTTGCACTTTGTGGAGATTAATTCTTCTGACTGATATGTTTTTAAAGTGCACACAGGAATTTGGGGAAGTTCGAGATGTATCAGGAGAAAAATTACCAGAAGGCTGAAGGAGGGAAAAAAAAAGTAGCACCGGATGCTGAGGCCGTATTTGGGGTGGAGGAAGGATTTGGTCCCTAATTTTGCATCTTTTATTCCCCACGTCCATCATCCCTTTGCTCCAAGTTATGTTCCTCCATGTTTAAAAAATGAAAGCAAAAAATCCAACCCCAAATTCACACTGTTTTCCATGAGAAAATATGGCCTAACATTCTTTGCAAAGGTATTTCATATCATCAGTTCCCACAACCAAGGTGTAAAGCATATTTTAAAAAATAAATCCAGCTTCTCAGCAGTAGTTTAATTGCTATTCAGTCTGCATTTATACACATTTATCCAAAAGCAAGCCTCCTTTAATTCAGTGAGGAACAAATCTGAGCAGGCATTCCTAGAAATGTGCTGCTACTGTCATGCGTATCTTTTATACAAAATTTGAACATCTGAAGCAAATATTCTTAGCAGAATGTAGAAGCACAAAATTAAGATTTAGCTCAGAACTTCTCAGCTCGTCCTTGCACTAATTAGAGGAAAGGTACATCGCACTCCAAACAGTGACAAGCTGCAGGGCGTGACGGTCAAGTCTCAAAATCGCTACCATCTATTTTTTCCCCTTTTAATTGAACATTTTGCCTGAAAGAGGAGATCTGGGAAACTCAGAGCGTGGGCCATGCTACTTTGCATCATTTCAGTCATCCCATTAAGTGAGCTGGTTACACTGCTGTCACTTTTGAATAAAAGCCAGGTAAACAAAGTATAAATTCACATATACACAACAGCAGTTGTAGCAGGAAGAAGTGTCAGCAGTAACATGATGATGAAAACAAAACCTTAAAAGAAGGCTGGTTACAGAGAGAATGATAAATATTTGGACAAATAGGCCTGTTTGGACCTGGCACACGAGGCCAAACAATTATAGCAAAGGGCAAATGTGCCTAGAAAGAGTATTTCACAAGCAGAGTCCTGCCTCAAAACCACTCTCTAATCACGCCAGGTCCAACGGTGAGAACACCTGCAGAAGGGCCTCAGACTGTCTTAAAGTGTGGGACAAGGCATCTGGGAGAAGGGGGCCTTTCCAATATTCTGACCACAAGCTATTCAGGCCTTTGCAACTCACAGGCTGTGCACGGAGCTGCGCATAGCAGCAATGTGAAAACCGCTGGCGTTCTTTGAACATTGGTGCAGTACGGTCCTGCTTAACAACCCCGCCATTGTACGTTTTCTGGACTGTCTTCAAAAGTGGTCCCATATAAAAATATGCTGCATTCCTCTAACCAGGATGATCAAAGCCCAGCATGCCCACTGTCCATGGATTTAAGGTGGGAACTTTTGCTACTGGGGACCCTCTCTATACTTAAAATGCTTGGATACCTTCTTGATCAATTCCCAGCAAAAACAAGCAGAATATCTGCAGTCTATCCCAGTCCACAAGCCTCTAGCACCCTTTACCCAGTGTGCTAGACTGGGCTCTCTGAGCAGTGGCTGCCTTGCAGGGCAGCTGGTGCTCTCCAGATGCATTGGAACTATGACTTCCAGCATGCTTCAGCCATCATGGCTGGCTGGAACGTGTTGGGAGGTGTAGGCCAAGACATCTGGAGAGCAGCAGGTTGAGGGTGGGCTGTTTCAGGAATGCAGCATGGGCCGCAATGGGGAATCTCGGCGGTTTCACTGGAAAGGGAGATCAGTGCTACGTATGTTCTCCCTGTGCACAGAGTGGGCAAGGTGGACCTTCTGTGCTGCAGTGGGCTCTGGATTACTGGACTGGGGTCATTATTCTAGCAGACCACAACTTAGGCTAGTTGCCACGCCAGAATAGTCACAGCTGTTCTGGATCTTGTTGGGGGCAAAACCCACCTGGACAGCTGCAAAGGGGCAGCTGCAAGGAAAGAAGAGATGAATGGCAGGTACTGAACACACATGCCAGGTAAGATCATCAGTTAGTATTTGGAAGTGGTTAAAGTGTGCATTGCAATGCAACACATTGCTTGTGCAAGACCTCAGCTTGATGCCTGAGCATGAAAAAGCCGTGCCAGGATCTGGGGAATTTCTCAGATATAAGACAGAAGTGGTGGGTAAACTGAGGAACGATCTGGGCAGAACTAAGGGGATCTTAAATTCAACTAAATGAAGTGACTGATATTCATAGTGACTGAATGAAATCTGTGTATTTTCCTGAATATAAATTCTATGGAAATCCATACCTCTGCCTCAAAAGAAAAGTGTTCAGGACCAGCACATATGATTTCAAGAAGGATTTTCAACATTAAGACTGATTAATTATAGATGCTTGAAATTTAATATGGGTGCAAACTCCAACTTACCTTTCCTGTCAGAATAGAGGGAAATTCCGTGTCAAACTTGTTGCTCAAGCCAAACCTTGAAAACAAAAAAAGAGAAAGCATTTCCACCCAACCTAAACTATATTCCCAACTTTTGCCCTATTTATTTTTATATTTCAGATTAGAATAATGCACTGCTACTTTCCACATCAACTGCCAAATATACATTAAACAGCTTAAAGGAATGCAGACAACATTCAAAGAAAAGAAGTCTCCTCCTATTAAGCAAATTATTTGAAAAGCCAGATGCCTATTTCTCCCTCCTGCTGTGGTTTACTGGCGCAATTAATTTTTCTGTTTGCATAAGTAACATGCCATTCCATCAGTTCCTTGCTGAAGCCTGCATCCTGATGGACAGTATTTGGTTAGAATTAGAATAAGGCTTTGAAGCTGGAGCTGAAGATACAGTGATATGCTAGGCACTGATTCTGAAGCCTTATCCCCTGAAAGCGCTGCCAAGCTTTCTGTGACAAGGATGCAACATTTTAATAGCGATCGCAGTGGATCTTTCCAAGGACGGGATCACGCAGCTGCCTCGTCTTGACTCTGCGACCTTCCTCGTGCATTCCTGGGTTTGCTTTAGGTGGCCTGTTGTGTCATCCAGACCTGGTAGGAAATCACTTGGCAGGCTGAGTTCACCATGGGTGGTCAAAAAGGCTACGGAGTCACCTGGCGAGAGCATCCAAATGAACCAGCCACATCCAAGTAAAAGTGAGATCGCTCACTCCCTGAACTCTGCCTAGCAACAGACCGCTCGGCTAGAGCAAGATTCTCCTCGGCATCTGCCTGCTCCATGCAACACAGTTCCACAATGCCTCAGTCACCAGGTTTCTTTCCTGCCTTCCTTTCCCTAGCGAGCCAGCTGTGTGCAGGCTGTTCAGCAACCTTGACGGAGTTCTGCCAGGCGTCGCTTTGCCTTTGCTGCTCCCGCCTTTACACATCTGTATCACCGTTTCAAAAAAGAACCCTCCAGTAGAAGCCCAAAATGTTTTAACTGATGTAACGTGGGCAGTATTTTGCCCTTCATCTGTTTCAAGCGGTTAAAATGACTGAATAGGTCGCATTTCATTTTGTGTATCTGAAATCACCCCACCTTTCCGTCTCTACTCCGAGCCAGATAGGGCCAGATCCACTGACACAACTCACACAACGCATCTGGGGCCCCAACTTGAGACAGAAGCAGCCCAACATGATCAGAGTGTGCAGGTGCATTTCTGGCCTCATCACAGATCTCTGGAAATGCCCTCCAGAGGCACAGGCATATTTGTGGGGCAGCAAGCATGGTCATCTTCCCCCCTGCTTTCTGGGCGGATGCTCGTCACGAGGCCTTCTGCGAGGCTCTCCCTCCCAGCACAAGAAAAGCCATGATGGCCTGGAGAGAAAGCACAAGGAAGGCACAGCTCAGCAGCACTCAGGAGCGGCATTCTGGTGCAGCCCCTGCCTGGGAGGAGGACTGCTGTGATGCCAGCTGCCCTGCTAGCATCCGGATTGCCTTGCCCCCCCCTCCTGTGCAGACCTGCCACCTCTGACCCGGGATTCCTTTGTCCCAGCTCCTGGTGCGTCAAACAAGTTGACCCCTGCCCTGCACAGCCGTGTCCCGCGCACCCAAGCGATGCCACTGCCGTGCCTACCGCTCTTCAAGACCATCAGATGCCGGCCCAGCCCCCAAAGTAGCCTGCACAGAGGGTCTGAGAACTGCGATATGCCCCACGAGAGTTTTCCGGGCTCCCCCTGCAAGCTGCCTGCTCCCCCTCGAGAACAACTTCACCTGCTGCTTTGCTGTCCAGTACAAGGAGCCCAAAGAACCTCCCTCCTGCTGTGAGAAAAACAGCCAGGTTCCTCTCCCCATCCTTCCAAGCTGATCAGGGCAAAGGCCTTCGGACCCCATGAGGAGCATATCGGAACAAAGGGGGAAAGCAACGTGAGAAGACTAGCCCCTGGAGAAATGCAACAAGGGGCGCCATCTTTTGGAACAGCCCCAGCTTCCCGGACTGAGGTTGCCACAACTGCCGCTGATGGCCCAAACCAACCCTGTGGGCATCCTCTGAATCCACCAGCTGACACAGCGATGCAGCATCAAGCGCACAATCTTGGCGCATCAATTGTTGAGTGGATCTTGGACCAGAACGCATGCACGTGTCATGAACAGAGACTGCACCACACCGAGAAAGGACTTTAGAGCAGAATTCCCTGGTCCACCCACAACGGTTATGCTAGCAGAAATACAGAACGTACGTCTTTTCTCCCCACCTCATCCCCACTGATGCCATTGAGCCACCCCGAGGCTTCAGCAAGGGGCAGCATAGAAATGTTTTAATTAATGAATAAATTGTTGTCATACCCCATGGAAGCAGCCTCTCCCCATAAGTATAACCTTGGCTAGCTGTGGGAGCTTCCCCCTCTCCCCATTCATCCACCTCAAAGCATCCCTGAGCGAGCCAGCTCCATTCATCCATTGATACCTCGCCTTTCACATAGGATCACGCCCGTTCCTCATGGGATAATCCATGATCTAGGTAGCACTCCCCTATGAGCAAAGCTTACAGCCCGTCAGATTCAGGTTTCTAATCATGCTGTACTTGGTTAAATCAGATTTTTAAAAAATCCTGCTGACCACCCACGAGATCCAGCTAATACAAAGTATGACCCTCCTGCCGTTTTGATTTTCCCCTCCTGTAAATGAACACGGCTACCCACAATTTGAGGTTTTTGAAATGTGCATGATGCCAGCTCTGGTCTTGTTATTCTGGAGGATACAAATGATTGCTCATGACTTTGCAGCCTTCAGCTGGTCCTGGCAGAGGTATTCCTTGAGGTGACTGGACACAAAGAGACCAAGCACATTGAAGTCCATCTTCAGGATATGCCCATACCCTGATGCTAAGGAAGGAGAACCATTTCCTTTCCCCTACAACCAAGATCACATTCGAGTGAACGCATATCCTCTGAAAAATGAGGCCATGACATGACGCTTCAAAGTTTTCCAGAAGCATGCGGAGGGCCCAGTGCTACAGATGCGCAGGTATGGGTTCCCTTAAGCCTCTTACAGAAGAAGAGCAGATATGAAAAGGGGGTCAAATACAGAACCATCCCCAAAACTATGACTGGAAACAGGTTCGCAACTAAACGGTTTTGCTGATCACGATAAACTATCCCCACATTTGCCAAGCATTCTGCACATGTGCATTATTCCAAACTAGCCTGATTTGATGCATCCCCTGGAGAAGCGTGTTTTATGAAACACTGTTAAATCCACTGGCTTCAAATGAGTTGTACCCTTAGTAATTAAGCCCTGTGCTGGGACTCATGTGGCGTGAGAGATGCTTCCTCATGGCACGATTCCAATTCTGCTGCGGAGCATCTATGAATACGCCAACAACATGAAGAGCTTTGGCTATTGAGTGGTATAGAAATACAATTAATCAGCAGCAGCACGTGGCTCTCTTATATTTGAACTGATGTGCTTCCTTCCAGTGATGCCAATTAGACTGAAAAAACCCCACAGAATCTTTTGACTCATCTGAGTGGATTATTCACATATGCGCCTCAGGGACACAGGATCTGCCACAGGGAAGCGGGAGGCATAGCTGAGCTTAAAGAAAAACAGATCTTTTGGATCACAGGTAAAAAGCCAATTCAAGTAAGCTGCCCTTTCTCTGTACTCTGCAAGTAACTCTGCAACTCCACCATGGAACTTAAAAACATTAGTTCCGCTATGTTTATTTATTATATCCTACCCTTTGAAATTAATATACATTAAAATGCACTTGAAGACATAACTGTACAACAATCAAGCAATACATGATCTTAACAAAAGCACATAAATAGAGACAAGATCTCTAAAGGACTGCAGGAACAAAATGGTTTTTCAAGCCTGCTTAAAAGAGGAAGAAGTAGCTGAACAGAATGCTTCTGGAAAGCCGTTCAGTGCAACCCTGAAAGCCCTCGCCAGGTGCTGACCATCTGACTGCATATCCGGCCTGAGAGCGGAGGAGATGCAGAGTGAAGGGCCTTAGAGGTACAGTCAAATTGAGTGCACCCCACTAAAGCTACTCCTCTACACAAAACCTAATGGCTTTTCTATAGATCTGCAAGTCAAAGATGCATCCGGCAAGCAGCTTTCAGTATGCCCAGTTGGGAACACTGGGAAAACAGTACAGGAAAAAGCAGGGGCTCTTGGAATATAGTGGTGCTTCTTCTGGGAAGTAAGTTATTCAGACCCCAAAGCCTATTTTGTCAATAGCATGGACTAAAGCCAAGACCCTGGAGAACAGAGCACATGGCATCACAGCTAATTAGACACGCCCTCAACCTATGGCTTGAACCACTGCATGGCATTGCAAGAAATGTATCTGCATATATTCACCTTGGTTAAAAGGAGAGCCCAGTGTCGGAATGGCACAAAATTATGTCTGCCCTGCTAGATCAAGCAACAGCGCTGCTTCAAATGGTAGGCTACCTGATGCTTCTGGAAACTTACAAACCACTCTCCCTACCGCTGTCTTGTGCAAAATCTTGCGTTCAGAGGTACACTGCCTCTGAAAATGGAGGCTCCATTTAATTAGCAGTATTGGTGCAAATGACAACTGACAGACCCAGTCCTCCACGCATTTGTCTAATCTCCTAAGCTAGTGGCCATGACCACATCCCGTGGCAGGGAATTTCACAAGCTCATTCTGTGCCAAATGAAAAGCTAAGTTTTATATTGAATATACTGGCAGGAAAAAGGAAGGATGACTCCAACCTGTTTGAAAGCGTACTATTTGAGACTGTACACAAGGAAGCAGAATAAAACAGCGGACGAATGCTAGGTACGGCACACCCTATTATTTCCAAATACCAAAAGAAAGTTTGCATGCATGCACACTACATGTAAAATGACAAGCGAGTTTATTCAAAAGCTGGTGATTGTTAAGGATTGATAAAGAATTCTAAGAAGCTTTTTTTTAGAACAGGAAAAATCTATTAGGATAATGCATAAAAGGCTGAGAAACCATGATTAACCAGTTATGACATGTTTAATGGTTAAATTTTAAAAACAAACTTAACAAAAATGTGTGGTTTCACAGCATGACTAAATAAAATAAGGACTTCTTAAGGAAAACATGGTGAAAGGGTTGCACATGGGCTTACTTTGTGAACTATTAGCAACCCTCAGCTTCACCCTTTCGACTGTTGCCATGTTTGCTTCACCATCCCTAGTGAGTAAACTTCATACTATCCACAATCAACCGCTACTTGATGTTTACGTTATATTTGTTACTTGCTCTTTCAAAATGTTGATTTTGAAACAAACACCATCAATGAAAAGGTCGGCTGAGAGTGTTCTTGTAGCGCACACAGTTGTGTGCTTTTTCTGCACTGCAGCGCAGAGCAGAGTGAATGAAGTCAGGAAGGGGCAGTGGAGGGATGGGGGAGAAGCAGAAGACCCGGCTGGAGGGGTCCACTGTATTTCACAACCACCCTGAAGAAATCCGGAGGAGGTTTTCCCTCTCAGGACAGAATACGTGCATTGCTGTCCGTGTACTTGCTTCCGAGGGCCGTCCACTAGTTTGTCCGTTTCATTTGTGTGGCCCAATCGGTATACAATTTCAGGCTTGCTGCCCATCCGAATCAGCAGTTAAAAGAAGAAAAAGCAACTTTTAAAGACGCAGGCTTCCATTGCACCAAAAGGCGGAGAGGCATAACGGGGTCCCAGGGCAGCGGAGCGGAGCGGAAGGGTGTGTGTGCGGAGAGGGAGCGAAGGGCGCGCAGGGGAAGCCTCCAAAGCCCAGCAGTCCCAGTCGCCCCAGCACACCCCTGCAACCGCAGCAGCATCCCCGGATCCGGGCATCTGCAAGCAGCGAAAAGCTCGCCTGCAGCAATCTTGGGCTTCCCCCCCTCCCAGGAAGGGAAGAGGACCCCCGCCTCACCTGCTGGCCTCCCTCTCCCCTCGCTGCCTGCGCACGGATAAATACGACTCGCCTCCCCATCCAAAAGTGCTTTTGCGAAGGGCGAGCCGTGCAGGAAAACTGGCGATGACACATTAAAGATACGCCATGCTCCTCTCCTGGCGCGGAAAAGACGGCCCGGGGGGGGCTCTCTCTCTCTGCTTCAGGCTCCCCCGAACAAAAGAAGGGGGCCGTGGGGGACGGGGGCCCCCGCACACCCTGGCCAAGTTCACCCACCCAGAACTTCGCGAGGGGAGCGCGATCGCAGCGGCGCTCTGCACGACCTCAGGAGCAGCCTCGGCGCCATGGAAGCCACCCCCACCAGGGCTAAAGCGACAGAAGGGGGGGAGGGCCGTGCAGCGACGGCGCTCTGCACGGCCTCAGGGGCACTCCCCGCGCCACGGAGTCCATCCCCTCCGGAGCGCTCTCGGGACTGCAGCTCGCTCCGGGCCGGCCCTCCGCGCATCCCCAGCGGCGCGCCCGGCCCAGAGCGCCCCGCGCTCTGCACTCGCTCAGAGGCACCCTCGCTCCGGGCAGCGGCGCCCCGCTCCGCTCCGCGCCCGCGCCCCAGGTGCTTACACGGTGATGTGCCCGGCGCCCCGCACGGCCACGGGCTCGGGCGCGTCGCGGGGCCGCGGCAGCTCCTGGCTGCGCACCACCGCCGCCGCCCCGGGCGCCGCCGCCGCCGCCTCGTCCTCCTCCTCCAGCTCGTAGATCGTGTCAAAGTCCGCCATGTTGGGGAGCAGGACGCTCATCGCCTCCCGCCGCCGGCGCGCGGGCGCGGGCGCGCGCCG